CTCCTCTCCTCTTCTCTTCTGTCTTCTCCAGGATGGATACTTTCTATTGATCTATATTTAACTGTAGAATTTCCATTTGTTTTTATTTTTTGTATAGATTCTGTTTCCATGCTGTGATTATCTGTTGAGTCATTGTCATTGTATTTATCATTAATGATTTGAGTATAGTTTTACTCTTTGAACCAACTTGTAATGGCCACTTTCGAATCTTTGCAAAATCCAATATCTGGGCTCACTTAGTGCCAGTTTCTATACATAGGTTCTCTTCTAATTTTCCTCTGCATGCCATATTTTTATCATTGAAAAGTACATTTCAGATAATGGAGCAACTTTGGGTTTTCATGTATTTTTTCTGAGACATTTTTAAAAGAGTGACTTTCCTGGAATTGCATTGCAAAATGTGTCTCTCCAGCAGTAAGTGGTTGTGGATGTTTACACTCAATTATTTAGTTGTTAATTTTATTTTTCAGCCTCGTATCTTGGTGACTAGACCTGTGTTTAAATAGTTCAATGTCTAGCCAGTGGTTTGGGCAGAGCTCGTGCTCAAAGACCTTGAGCCTAGAGGGCATCTACCGTCTGCCACTTGTGCTGTGTGTTCTCGGGAGTGCCTTCATTGTTGCAAGCAGTGCTCTATCTGCCTTAGATTTTATTTTTCCCTGGACCATGTCTTATCTCCTCTGCACTTATACCTAGTTTGCTACTCAAAGAGATGTGTAGAGAACTTCTGTGAACCATCTATGACTCTTTCACTTCCATGATCACTCCTTTAAACTTTTTCTGGGTTTTTCGCTTTTGTGTTCTATCAAGTTGGCCATTTTTATCTGACAAAGCTCCAGATTCATCACTACCCCTGAAGGGAGTCCACCCTGTGTGGCAGCAGAACTGCTGATTTTCCAGCTGGCCACATCCTGATAAAACTTAATTTCAACTTCCTTGAAGGGACAGGAGCAGTCCCGTGCAATAAGGCCAAAGAATCTTGCTCTATTTACTCCCTAGATCTAGCAGTGGCTTAAGATTTAATGGTTTTTGATTATTGGTTATTTTGTGCAGCTGTACACTTGATTTTTTTGCAGAATGAATTTCTCCGTCTTTTCATGCTATTATCCCAAGAATCCTTTGGTGGTTAAACATTTTAACTTTGCCTGATGTATTCCAGTTTCCAGATCTTTAGTTGGTTCTTTTTATGCTTTCCTGGACTATTGTTACCTTCCCTTTCAATGCTCCACTTCATCCTGCTTTCTAGAAACTCTAGGAGCCTGTATGCTCCCTTGGCTTATGCTGTGATTGTCACCTTTTCCTCTTATGCTCCCATGTAGCTGTCTCTGCCCTCTGCCTTTCAAACTTATTTACACTACACACCCAGAAAGTTACTTGTAAATTATGCACTTTCAGGAACAACCGTAAAGTTGAATCAGTCTTGTACCTATCTTTGCTTCAATCAAAAGCACAAAGGCAATAGCAGACAGTGTTCAAACCACTTTGAATGAATAATGTCAGGCTGTCAGCTTCACTGTCTTTGCTTCTTTCTTCTCGTAACACTTTTGCAGTCTGCCCATTCTGTTTTATTCTTAATCTAAATTATTTAACAGATTTTTATATTTAGAGGTGTAAAATTTGATGATTTCAATCTAATGATTTACTCAAATGGTTTTCAATATCTCTGACAGTCTACATGTAGTAGGATTCTCACAGATCTGTGTAAATCATTCCACATATTCATAAACTAGTTCATATCACTTCAAATTTATAAAAAAAACCTTGTAGAAAATTCAAGACTTTCCCCAGTGTTTTTGTGAATTTATATGGTATTCTCAGAAATAACTTCTTTTTGGAGATGGTGTCAATTTAATTCTGTAGTTTCAAAATATTGGTATTCATTCGGGTGCATAGCAGGGTCTGAGTTTCTAACTGGAAAGACTCCTCTGTCATCTTTAACATTATCCTAACATACAGATGGACTGTCAGATTGTAATGCTTTTGACTGTTGCTAATAGTTTACTCATGCCTTGGAAAAATGCTGGGTGACTTTCTGGCTGTAGAAAAGATGTTTGATTTGTATAGTGTTTTCATTGGTCAAAGGAAAACAAATACAGTCTGTATCAGTTAGTATTTACTAGAGAAACAGATACAATACAAGGTCTACAGATATATAAGAATTTACAAGATTGGCTTAAAAGGCCACCCACACAATCAAATGTGGAACCATGTGGAGAGTCTATCTGTGTGCTGGAGACCAAAGGGTCCAGTTGAAGGTCTGTGGCTCCCTACAGTGTCCTGTGCGAGTCCATATCAGGAGACCGATGGGGCTGCAATAGAAGGCTGAGGGCCTACGCTGGAAGCTGAAGAGTCTGCACTGGAACAAAGGAGATGATATCTGAGGTGAAGGGAAGCCTGGAGTTCCTCCAAAGAAACAGAAGCACATCACTGTTTCTTCATTTCCCCTTTGTGCCATCCAGGAGTAGAGCCTCCCTAGGGTGGGTTTTCCATACCCTAGGGTGTGGAATTCTAGAGCCAATTTAGTTGAACTTCTCTTACTCAGGTTGACAAACTCAATCAACCATCACATAGCTATTTCTCAGTATCGGCAGGTGGTTGCTTCCGGGACAGCCTGCAAATACCCAAATTAAAGGCTGCTAAAATCTTTTACACAAACTAATGTAGCATTTGCATGTTACTTGTTCTTATCTTCCCATATAATTTAAGTCATTTCTAGATTATTTAGATTTATAATACCAAATACAGTGTAGATGCTATGTACATATTTGTTGTAATGTATTTTTAGGGATTAATGACAAGAAAACAAGTCTGTTGAGTACAGATGTGTTTTTCCTCACCTGCTAACATGGCATGCGTAGATATAGGCAGCGATATTTAATATCCTTTTCACAAGGATATTAAACCGGTTCATGTTTGGAAAAAGTTCTCTGAGAATGAAAATTAGTGTTATGCTTATAATTCTTATTACACAGCCTATATTTGAGGAAAATGAAGACATTTAAGGTCCTGATTGTGTGATAAAGTGATAGACACTCAATTTCCTTCTTTCTTAAAGCAAATATGTGGTTTTTCTTTTCAAGCATTGTAGGGAATTTTAGCTTCTTGATACACACTGGCTTTAATTGACATCTTTTGGGTGGGAAACGAATTAAGTAAGTGGGGCTGGTTCTGGAGTAGCTCCTCTATGCTACTTTACGTTGTTTTTCTTTTACCACTAGTTTACTTCGAACAGCACATCGTGATTATATTTCTACAGTCCTGAAATAACATTTTGCTTCTTTGTGAGGATAGGAGATAAACACCCTTTATCTCTCATTCTCATGAAATCCATGTTAGCTTCACTAATGTGCATTAAGAAGTTTCTAAAGCAATGGGAAATGTCAGCAAGAATGAAATTAATTGGGTGGTCATCCCCGAAGGTACATATTTAGGAGTTGGTTCTCAGAATTGTCACTTCATCAGTTTGCTTAAAAATAGAGGATTTACTTTACTGCTTGGCTTGAATCAAAAGTAATTTCTTTCCTGCAGAATCCTATTCTTTGACAGAAATGATTTTAAGTCAGCTCCCTATTAACTCACTCTCATTCTACTGTGACTGAACATGTCTAGATTCTCTTTCCCCATGTGTTGAAAGATATGAAAAAATATATCAAATGGCTATCCAAATTATGATCCTGTCAATAATTTTTGTTTGCAAAAATATTATCTATAGCATGGAATGTGAGTTAAATATAATCTTCAGGGTTGT